ACTCTACATGGGGCTACCCTTGAAGAGTATCCGGAAGCTACAGCTGGTCCAGAATGCAGCTGCGCCGGCTATTTTTGGAGCCCCAAGAAAGCCCCATGTAACGCCATTGCTCTGCGAGCTGCACTGGGTACCAGTCTGCTTCCGGGTCCAATTCAAGGTGTTGGTTATCGCCTTTAAAGCCCTACATGGGATGGGACCAGGTTACCTAATGGACTGCGTCTTCCCCATGACTTCAACCCATCCCACTCGATCACACAGAGAGGACATGCTTCGGACCCCCGTAGTAAGAGAACTTCGATTAGCAGGGTCCAGGAGGTGGGCCTTCTCTGTGGTAGCCCCCGCTCTAGAATATTCTGCCCCTGGAGGTGAGATTGGCCCCCTCACTTCTGGCCTTCCGGGGGGCTTTGAAGACCTGGTCCTATCACTTGGCCTGGGGTGGGGAAGGAATACTTCAAGCATGGGGATGGCTAGCCCCATAGAGGCTTGCTGTCTTCAGCCCCAGATCCTTCATCATCATCTTGGACTCTTTTTCTCTTTTTTAGTAATGTTTTTAAACTTTTATGTTTTATGTATTTATGGTTTTAATGTTTTGTGTGAACCGCCCAGAGTCCCCCATTGGGGTGAGATGGGTGGGGAGAAATTAAATAAATAAATAAATAAATAAATCCTTGTATAATACTGTATAAGTAGTATAATGTAATGAACTTTAACCATTGTGTATTTAACTCAAAGTCTGCTACAATAGGCTTCATTCTTAACTATGGGTCATAGGTGTTCTTAACCTGGGGACCACCTGTACACAGAATATGGAATTTGTGGTATTAATGGAAAAGAAATAATTAAGCAAAACTAGAACATACCTGAAAAGAAAACTTTCAAGAGAAATTATTTCAACATGATCAGAAAGCATTTGTGAAGAAACTTACTGTACTGACTCAGGCGTTCCAGTCAACATGCAAGATCTTTCAGGAAGCCCACCACTATCTACAAATGGAAACAGCACAGAATGAACACTAGTAAACAAATATCAGTAATTTGCTTTTAGGATTTTAACAGATCACTCAACTAATTCATGACTGTTTCAGTCTCTTATAAACTAACAATTTAAGACCATCAAAGTAACATCCATGCAATATTAACTTATAGTGTTCCACCAGAAACTGCAAGCTAGTAAAATACAGAAAATGAAATAATTACCAGGTGCAATCTGTATTTTACATCCAGATTCTTGCTGTATGCGAGATATCTGTTCTCCTCCTCTGCCAATTACTTGAGAAAAGGACAAACAAATCAGTTAATGCATTAATACCATACACTGCAAGTTTTAAATATACTGTAATACATCTATATACTCACTGAATCCAACCATTCCATCTGGAACTTTGTATTCTTCTGTCATTACAGACCTGGGAAAAAAAACACCACAAACTAGTATTTATACCTAGCTTGAAATCAAGTTTTCTCTCCAAACTGAAGAGGTACATCATATTTATATATTTGTTAATGTTTACTTCCACTCAGTTAACGCTCTTTGCTTTCCATATTTGTTTAAATCACCGTGCCTACAAAATAATAACGTCCATTAATATTACTTTAACGCAGGTGGTCAAACTTTAGCCAATTAGTTAAAATGCCAAAATTCTAATAATGTTGAAGCCACTTATATGAATCTGGTAACTTATTGCAATTTATATGCATTTCAAAGATACATAAATAGTGTTATTTCATTTTATATTAAAGATCCAAGTCAGAAGCAAAACAAAGTATATAACAAGAACATAAATGAGGAAGAAAGTGCTAGGAAATTTCACCAAAATTGTTTATTTCATAAGTGAGAGAAGAATTTCAATAATGAACATTTTGAACTTTGGCTTTTCTTTTTCAAATGAACCTAATTCTAAGTTATATATGGCAATATCTTTTGTTCTTAAATATATCACTACTAGTATTGGTCAAAGAAAGTGCCCTGCAATTGCAATTAAAAGAAGATTTCAATAGAAACAGTGGAGTCTAATGCAGCCTACCCTACTTTTTCATTTATTTTTTTTAGTATACACAACCCAAAATATAGAACAAATGTTGCAAAGAAGAGAAAATAGTTTGCCTGCATCATGTTGAATAGGCAGGCATCTTGTTTTGAAAAAAAGTGTGAGAAGCAACCCAATTTGTACAATATCAACAATCAATCAATGGAGAAAACTAGCTCCATCTTGATGAGTACCATAATGGAAAGTTGCTTTAAAAGAAATGCAACCCTTTAACTTTCACTGAAAAAGTAGCATGGTAAAAAAACAAGCATTTTCAGCTTTATAGCTATTTTTAACATGTGACTTAAAACCTAATTCTCTATCCCTACTCAACTAATTACCTCATCTGGTTCAATGTCACCTACAGTGAACGTTATCTGGCAAACAGTAAATAAAAATTCCCCAACCAGTTGAAGCTGTAATTATTTCAATTACTGATTGAAATAACTATGTGAACATCACTTTCTTCCCAATAGCTTTTTGGTCTGCTCACAAGAGACAAAATAAATCCCAAAGCCCATTTCTGATACTGATAACGTAACAATTTATAAATTTCTAAAACAAGCCAATAGAAAATAATTACTTTCTACCAGGATCAAATTAAAGAAAAATAAAATCTTACCTCTGTTGCTGATGCATGGGTGGTAACTGATTTCCAAAAGCTAAAATGAAATATTACATACTTTGACAATTTTACCAAATAATCTGCAATAATGGCATACAACACACAAATGCAAGAACACACAGGACGCAAACTTGACTACCAGACTTTCATTTCAATATATTTGCATTTGACTAACATTCCCAGTTTTGCCAAATAATCAAACTTAAAACATCATTAACCCAGAAATACATCACTGGATGTAATGAGATAGCTCAGAATTGGTACTTTAGCTTGGTCAATTCCACCTAATATGTTCTGTTTAGCTATTTCCTTCTCTTAAGTTTACTGCTTGATTACAAATCAAGACAAAAAACTAATTCTTCAGGGCAAGTACAAATAATAATTTATTATTTTGCAAGTAAAGGCAAACGGTAGCATGTGTAAACTGGGAATAAAAATGTGAAAGTGAAGGGAAAAAGAAAACACTCATATAAGGCAATCAAGCTTGATTTCCAGCACCTGGAAGTTGTTTCCAACTGCCTTCTTTCAGAATGTTTCTGCAGTGTAGCCTACAGCTTGAGAGTGCCTGTAGGTCTCCCATGCAAGTATTAATCAGGCCTGATCCTGCTCTGCTTCCAAGGACAAACAAGATCAGTTAGGTGCCGGTATCTGCTAGGGCTTCTTTGCTTAGTTTTTTTTTTTTTTTCATTTTCTTCCTTTTTACTTCATGTGTCTTCCTGCATCACACAATACTTTAATGAGATTCCACCCCCTTAAACACTCAGTGTATACATGAGTATGAAGCAGGAAGAACCACACAAACCAAAGCCCTATTTGCCACACGTGATTTTCAAGCAGAAATAGCCACTGCATTTAGCTGAATACTTTAAGAGCCTTTATTCATATACAATTAAAATGCAAATTCATAACATAAAAAATTAGCTATGTTCCAATACTGTAATCCTTTGAATATATAAACTATCAACAATTTGATTAATAAAAGGAAAAAGTTCCAGTTTTTCAAAAAAAAATTCGTTGGTTAGTTTTCAAGGTTAATTAAAACTATTCCACTTGGCTTTTAACTTTTAAACTACATAGACATTTGTGTTTTCTAAATTAAACCACTTTAATTTTTACAAGTTTACAGGGAAAATGCTAAATAATGTTTCATATTTGAAAAGGCTATAAATAAAGATGTTATTCAACTAAATCTCTGCACTTTATTATGCTTCAACATAATTGTAACTGCTGCAGCAGTTTTAACAGTCATTGTCTTAAATACTTTTAAGCTGCAATACTTAACCTAATTACCTTGAAATCAGTGGAGCATACTTCTTAATAGATAAGATAATATATACTGGAAGATTTAAAGGTCCAAATTCTAACTTTTCATTTCTACTTTCATCAAACTGAGAAAACTGAACATACAAATTAGTTAAAATAAGTTTATCAATTCTGAAATAAAATCAAAAGAATCCTAACAAAATACTGACTTGCTGATGGAACAGTCTGATTCAAGATGGTAAGAGGAACTGTTGGCAGTATGATATACACTTCTACAGAAGTAGCACAATATGCTACCAAAATATGGCTTGGAATCAATAAATCAGTAATAAAAAGGAAATAAACATTACACAAACACCTGTAAGGACTTATAGAAGAGAAAGAGCCTATATTACTAAACTTTATACTACTAATCTTACCATGTAAAAAAACAAATTACAGTATTTCTAAAAATCTCTTAGCTACTGGATTCCATTATTTCTATTTAACTGGCTTAAAATTTCCAGCAAAGGTTTTATTAGCTTTTGTGACTGTTTTAAATATTTTCTAGCTGTAATACACCTTATTTTTTCTATTTGGAAAGGAAGCTTCTTTTAAACCTGAACCTTAAAAGGCCGCCTCTAAATCCAAGCAGCCAACCACAAATAAATATACATGTGCTTTGTTAGGTTTTGGCTTAAGAGTGGTATGGAAACCTAACCACCATGGTTGTAAATCTTGCTTTATGATTTAAAGTTATGTAACTCTAGCCACTGAGGTTAAAGACTATTAAAATATAGTTTACTCTGGAGTCATTGGTGATCTCTGAGTTTGATTGCTTGCTTGCAGACGTTTCATTACCCAACTAGGCAACATCATTAATGGTGTCACTGATGATGTTAACTAGTTGGGTAATGAAATGTCTGCAAGCAAACAACCAAGCTCAGAGATCACCAAGAACTCCACAGTTCAACCCTGAGCTACATATATTAACTTCTATTGGATAGCTTACTCTAATGGGTGAACCCAGTCACTAATCATGATTTGTTGACTAAGGTTCAATCGGAAGTTTACACATCTATATCAATGGATACTTGTTTACACAACATTGCTTTCCCACTCCATCCTTCCTATTCCAAAAATATTTTTTGAGGATCAGAAGATACTCTAGAAATTTTCATTATTTAGGAATCTCTGAAAATCAGCTATAGGTGATATATTCAGGGAGAGTTCTGCTTACAGAACACAAGACTCAGTCTACTGGATAAATTCACTATTAATCCTTTTGCGCTTGCTATCTGAATATATTGTTATACGGAGGATGTTTAAAGATCAAGAATGGTTTGAGAAAATATCCCTAAAGAGAGTATATAGCAAACATATACTCAGAGAAATGTTTGAAAACTGTATCTTGCTACCTTCCTAGAATACTGTATGTAAAAAGCTAGTAAACAGCTGGACGACAACCAGTCTAGTATAATGGTTAAAAGCACTGGAGTGGGGAGACCTAAGTCCTAGTCCTCCCATAGGTCTGAAAGCCAGTTTGGGCCAGTTGCTCTTTCTTAACCTCAACCCTAGACTGGAAGTACAAACAAAACCCATACATCCTAGAAGAAAGTAATGGCAAATCTCTTTTGCGGTGTTGCCAGGAAAATTGCATGGATCTGTACATGGTCCTCAGGAATCAAGACTGACTCAAAGACACCCACTCCCCTCCACAGAAGCTGGAAATACCTATAGAATAAGCTTATAAACAGCCACTCGGACAGTTGCATGAATACTTTCCCCCCCTAAAATCAAAATACCACCATGCAAGCCTAGGAAAAGGTAAAAGTGAGCGACCCACGTGAATCTGAAACATTTTATCCTCTTTGGATCCAAATAGCTGCACATTCCTAATTCTGCCAGAATATAGCTTCCATAGTGGAACTGTGTTTAAAAAATCTACACTACTAAATTATGCAGTGTCCTTTTGAACCCATTCTCTCTTGTAAGTGAAATCTTGTGCACCATATTAAATTATTAGAACACAGATCATAATACAGTAGCTCTGGGAATCTACAAGTCGATTAGTAAAGACTCCTAACAAAAAGGTATGCCAATTATGGTTGAACATTAACACTGATTTATGTGGAAAAATGATAAGTAACTTTCTATTATTCCTTTTCACTAACACAAATCAAATTCACTTATTGTTTTCTATCAAAGAGCATGGATTACAAATAGTCCCTGGGTTAAGAATGCCTGGGTTACAGATGACCCATAGTTAAGAACAGAACCTACTGTAGCAAAGGTTAATTACATTATACTACTTATACAATATTACACAGTAATAGTGTTCTGGCTTACATACAAATTTGACTTAAGGACAGACCTTGGGAACGGAACTCATTCTTAAACGGATTTGTTATTCATTAAGTTCATTTTCCAAGTCTCTTACTACTTACTAGCAAAAAATCAGGAATCTGTCTGGAGTGCAGAATAACCACTCTGCATCTGATGAAGTGAACTGCAGCTCATGAAAGCTTATGCCTTTCAATAAAAGTTCTTAGTTGGAAAAAGTGCTACTAGATTCCTGATTTTTTACAATGATAGACTAATAGGGCTCTCCTCCTATAACGTGTACCACCTAGCAGAATCCTGTGCATAGCAAGAGAATATAAAATTGCAAATGTTTGCTCTTAGGGATGGAAAGAGAAGAGTCAGAAAAGATCAATATACACAACTCTGGTACATAACAGCCACCAATTTGTGTATACATATATATTAAATGGCATAACTTGTTACAGCAAATCATATATACTTACAATCATTATTTGGGGGAGCAACTTTCTTAGGCTCTGGTTGATCTGCAAAATTAAGAATTTTTTAAATGTTTTGGGTCATACATATAGGTAACTTAAATAAATGGCTGTTCCAGAAGTTCAAAATGCAACTTGTCCAGTGCATTTTAGCATGTTTTTGAAATTTCAGGGAATAGATCATCTAAACAAAGAAAAATCTTATATGTTTAACATTTGGTTAGTGTAATTGGGGAAAAATGCAAAGTACTTTCATTTATCATGTAACATGTTCAATAAAAGCACACAGGTTTAAAAACGGTATTATGGATATCCAGGCACTAAAATGTAACAAACATTTAACTGTATTATTAGTAATTTGACACTAAAGCTAATGATGCTTCTGTAACAAAAACTGAAACAACCACCATTGTGAGAAATAATCATTTTAAAATTATGTCTGACAACAACCACAATATTAAACAGAAAATCAAAGTTTAAAATTTAACCAACACATAGCAATACAATCTCAAACTGGGGACTGTCATACAAGCTTCCTTTTCAAATACTGAAAATTTCACGGCATAAGACTTCAAAACAGGAGATTCAAAGCCACTACCATAGCTACTATCCAAATTCGTTTAGTATGAGTGAAAGTCGTAGATAACCAATATCTGATAAAAATTACTTTAATGTTTCCTTCCCACCCCATATTAAGGAATATATGAACCACCATAATTAAGTGCAGTAAAAGTCAGACACATATTCCAAGAAATGTGTGTGTCATCCATTGCAAAAGATTCACTAGTTCATTTCACGTTTACATACTAAACACAGGTAATAAATAAAAATTCCTGCCTTTAAAAGGAGAGGGCATTCCCTCCCAGTGTGTTGTACTGCTCGGACTTGTCCAAGAGCCATCTACACATAAAATAAAAAGAATACATTACATACATCATTTGAAGCATCATTAGCTCAATCTTGAATATTAAAAGCCTCACTATTAATAAAAGGCACTTTATTAAAGTACACAAGTACTCCTTGTCAAGAGCCTTGGAAATTTTCTGCAAACAAAATTATACTCCTTCAAAACCTACATCTCTTCCAAGATCAGAAATCTGTCTTCATGAATTTAAAAAATACTACACGCTTTTAAAAGATAAACACAGTAAACTCTTTTAAGCCCATGAGCCTAAAAATTAAACTTGCTATACATTTCACTAACATATTGTAGAAGGAAAAAAAAGTCACAGCATCATCTTATCTGGGTTCAAACAATGTAGAAGACATTTTCTCCCAAATCTAGCTGTAAATTTGTAATTTTGGTGAAACTGAGTTTCATTTTAAAATGTTGCACCTGCACAATGCAAAGTTTGAAAGAGTAATTCAAGAACAGTATTTTGAATTGACTATAAAAATTAATGTTTTAATACAAAGATGAGTTTTAAAGAATATGTATTTACCTACCTTCCCAGATTCTTAAAATGTAAGTATCATTACTATCTACTTTTAAGGGTACCCCAGCTAGCTTTTATAAGTCTTATCTAAAGATCATGTATATGTTTAAGATGGACTATTCCGTCTTCTAAGCAGAAACTGCACAAGCTCTCACACACACTCTTCAGTCAGTGTTTATAATTTTGAGAAAGTAATATATTAGCATCTTGCAGCATACCTCCATCTTCAAGAGGTCTTTTTTGTCCCCCATAACTGTAATCATTTGAATTCACAGATGTCCCTGATTCATTTCCAATTTTTGCTGCAATCTGAAAAAAAGATACACATTTGCTTTAACCAAAAGAATTACATCATACTATTTGCTAAATTATTCATAAACAAAAATACTTTGCATCCAACACTAGGATATTCTTTTTATTAAGGAATCATTACTGGTAATTCAGTTGCATACATGCTCCACTGATCACTAATTAGATAACATTAACAGTCTATACTTGTTGCACCCATTAATGTATATTAAATTATTTACCAAACTGGTTAACACACGAGATTCTGGTAGCTAACTGCTTTCTGTTTTGTCTAAACTGTTAAAAGAAAAGGAACTGGGAAAGAACCTATACCCTAGTGTATGAATCTTCCTCATCTGTTACTTCCAAAAAGCTAGAAATCAGCCCGCCAATAAAAGAACTTGGCTGAACACCTGAATATCTGTAACCATTATCAGTCTGTGTAGATCTGTAACAGAGCCAAAGGGAGAATATGAATAAATACCACTATACCACCAAGAATATACAACTAAACTGAGTGCAATTACAGAATGGGAAAGTGTGTGTGTGTTCTTACTATATGAACAGTACTATATATTTAAAACAACGTAGTTAATTTAAAAACTCATCAATAAGTTCCTTCCTTTTAAAGCGTGACCACAGAATTTGTTTCTATCAGGAGTCCAATCTTATTCATGCTTTCCTTGAAGTCAATCCCATTTGTTTCAGAGCACTTCAGTGGAGCTTACTGCCAAGAGTAAGGCTATTTAAAATAATCTTGATGAAATATCAAAGTGCAATTGAATTGTCTGTTGACCAAGACACTACAAAGGGTAAGATCTGCTAATTTGCTCACCTATGTATGAGTGTCAGACAACTTTAGGAATAATTATTACCACTACTTTTCCCTTCGATTGCACTGTTTTCCAATCTCTCATCCCCAACTCCATGGGCATATATATTTTGCTCTCAAACAGTATGAAATTCAACCTGAGTGGCTCAGCTTTGAGCTTGCATGTTCCCTTCACTTCTATTACATATGAAACAATTCTTTCTGATGTTTTTAATTTGAAGTAAATGACATTCTGAGCTGAAATCTGATCCAAACAAAAGCAGTAGGAGTAAATAAGGAACAGATTAAACTCAAAGGTACTTGCCATGTTTAAGTCATTCCAGTGGATCAAATTTGATTTAGCACTGGGCTGCATATAATATCTTCAAGCTCCCTCAATTCCAGGAGAAACCGCCCCCCAAAGTTTTTATTTAATTTACAACAGTATTGCTTTTGTAGTTTTAAGATGTAACACATTCCCTTCCCTTCTTCCATTAGGCCTAATAATATACCTTTGTTCTTTTTAAAGCAAATGCGATTTTATTCCTACTTAAGTTGTGGTAACACTGAAAGTCATTCTGTACTTGAAAAATTGTACTTGTATGCAATAATTGTATCTCCACTGTGTGTATGCTTTTCTCTCTTCTAACAGTATATTTCAAAAATGTGAAATAATTGTTTTGTGTTTGTTAAAAGATTAACTATAATACAAAGTTTGATAGACAGGAAACAAAGAAAGCCTCACATTCAATTATTTTTAAATAATCTCTTCAGTAACATAAAAGCTCACAGAAGCCAAAGAATTTTATTCTTTTTCTACTTCACTAAAATGCTTTAACAGGACTGCTTTGCCCATTTTTCAATTAATTGAATTTTCTCTAAATAAAAATGCAAGGAATTCTAAATCAAATTATATATTTACTTCCAACAACAAAATACACTTAAGAGTTTAAGACCCTGAACAACACCAAACACCTCCAACAGCAAAGAGCTGAACACCTTTTTTTAGTCATACAAAGCCCAAAACTGAGAAAGAAAAGTTAAGAGCAATTTCTTAACATTAGAACACCTGGAAACTAACACATCAGAAATAGTTATCACGTCTATAACGTTTTATTACTGGTCACTTAAGAAAATGGGTGGGCCTTATGGAGGCTGTAGTCCATGTCACTTAGGGGGCAGTATGTGCCTCCTCTTGGCCTTCCTACAGAAACAAAAGACGCGATTACACATAGTACCCGGTTTTGAAACTGCCTATGTTTGTGCACGGAAAAGAGTTGAAGTTCAACCGAACTGGAGAGCACCAGATTAGAGAAACCTGCTCTAACGAAATAGCCAACTGTTTCTCCGGTTACCGACATTTTCCACCAAGCGAGGTATAAGCGAGTACAATGGAAAATATTGCACAACACGCTGGCATTAGGTGGTGGACAATGTAAGACCCTCTGCACAGCGGAAGCGAGGTTGGACGGGAGGGTGGGTTTCAGAAAAGCGGACACACCCGACTCCCTGTTAGTTCGTTTCTTAAACAAATAAAGGCACTGCCATTTCCAAAGATAAAAGATGGAAAGCTACTGGGAAAATAACTTTCCACAAAACGTGAGAGTTTAAAAAGTAAACTAATTCGGTTACTTTGATTCTCAAGCTAATCCCCTTTCTCTTTCTCCGCCTTCCTCCCACATAGCGGAAACGTAATGGATACCAGGCGACTTGGCCTCCGCGCTTTTGTAGGTAGCGAAGCGACCAAAGCCTTCACTCCGTCGAGTACTGAAAAGTCTAACCAAAGAAAAGCCACTCCAATCCTTCACGGGGGCCACTCGGAGCGCCTCCGCAACAGTGGTGGGCCCTGGGTTGTCTCCCTTTGCGAAAGAGGCCGAGCGGTGAATGAGAAGCCAGCGGCCTGCCTCAAAGTCTGAGGAGCCACCAGAAAAAAAATCCCTTCAGGTCTCATAATACACACCTGCCTAGCCCGTTGCAGCGCGTCTTTAAAAGCATCATTGACTGCCCCGCCACCTCCTCCGCCTCCACCGGGTGCTCCCGAAGAAGGAGGGGGCACCGTAGAATAATCCGACATGTCTCCTTCGCTACTTCCTACCGTCCTCCTAGCCTGCCAAGAAAGAAAGAAAATGGCGGCGGGCGGGAGCCTTTCACATTCTTGCGTCGCATCGTGTTTCACGAGAGGAGGAGGGGAGGCCACTAACACCCTCGCGAGACTTCTAAGAAAGAGACGCGAGATTTTGAACAGAAAGAACCGAGAGGGTGAAGGCGGGAAGGAAGATTTTTTCCCTCTCAAGTTAACTCTCGCGAGATAAGAATCAGGATTGGGGTTAGAATACTCTGCAGCTTTCCTCTGCAAAGAGGAAGGAGTACTGTAGATCGTTAAACGGATGTATGAAGAGCACGCGCACGATTTCTTCCTGGGTTAGATAAGACGATAGCCTTTCAGGGAAGGAGTATCTCGCGAGAGTTGGTTAAGTAATCTCTTTCTTTCACTCTCCCCCAGCGTACTTTCAATCGACATATTCGGATAGTTGTGAAGGGAACTGATTATGGTACTTTGCTGTCGCCTGTCAGGGAGCGTCTGTCGTGGTGGCGACAACCTGGCGGCTAGCGAGTGAGTCTGTTAGGACGGGTAAATCGGAGGGAACGCCTTTGATTGAGCCTTTGATTCTCGAAGGCACAGAAATAGCAAGGGGATTGATTCCCGATGGGGTTGCTGAGGCGAAGGGGGACCGTCCAAACGCTGCCTATTTCCAGACTTGCTAAAGGATACATAACGACGACAAGCTATACATCTCATAGAGGTTTCTTCTTAAAATAATATAGCAAGTTTACCACCTGCCCTTCAAAAACAAGGCGGTTCTCACACATGCATTCTCCCTTTAATGTTTGTAGAGTAATAATAAAAGCAATGAAGTCGGTGGCCCTGCGAAGGTCAAAAATCTGATGCGAGTTTTGCTGTAGAGTGTTGGGAAGATGAATTAAACTTCATCACTAAGACATTAATAAAAAAAATGTTGGGGTAGATGTGCAAAAATGCATGGTAGGTATGGTGAATTTTCAAGTACAGTTATGGCCACTTGCCATTGTAAGAGTTACTGGGGTGCAGAGGACATGAAAAAATAACGGGGCTTCCTACAAAATGGACTTTGGGTTATTAGCAAATAATTTCTGTAATTTGATTGTCAGTGTATTTGCAATATAGTGTTTTGTTTGCTGCTTTGCATTTGACAAGCTATTTTTGTTTTTGAGTTTGAAGGGTTTGTGGAGAGCCAAATCATATTGAGATCTAGGTCATGTGGATGAGACCTATATTAGCATTTACGCACAATTATTTCTTCTTTTGTCTATATTTCTGCATTTCTGTCTGGGTAGAGCTTCTGCTGCAAGGTACAAAGACTAGGTGCAGCAATACCCTACATGACCCCACTGTCCTCATAATTTCATCTTTCATTATTCATGATTTTTGTACTTTTTGATTTAAATACTTGGTAGTATGGTTCATGTAAGGTAGAACTTAATTGGTCTAGCAAACATCTCTTCAAATTAAATGTATATGCTAGTATGTTCGTCATTGTCCTCTCCACACAGTAAGTTTTTGTGATGGAATTGCATTTGAAATTTGAAAGTCTATGTGCTGCCAATATTAACAGGTGTTGTTGCTAAGATTTTGTTGAAAAAAAGTTGTTCAGTGGTGATCATCAAATCAGATAATTCTTCATTTTCTCTTCTTATTCAAAATGTCAGTTGCTGGACAGGTTGATATCAGAATTAGATACTCTTCATATGGTTTATTGTTTTGGAGCAAAGCTGATAAAATCAAGCTTAAAAAGGAGATGCTGAAATACTTTGTAATGCTTTTTTCCTGGAATACATGGCTCTGATAGCTTATCTCATTTGAAGTTCTTCAGATTACTAAGAGTAGAGAAAATATCCCCCAAAAAGAGAATAATCAATAAAAATGTGAAGTCACTGAGTTAGGTTGAAATGCTCTTGGTGACCTACAGATTGTTTCTTAGCTATAACCTATACCATTGGATTATGAGATTAATATGGGAAGGAATAAACAATATATACTGCTCTCAGTTATTTTTAGGAATAAAGGTTAATATAAAATACTTCTGTGCAATAATTCTGTAGTGTATTGTTGCTATGAGCTTATAGATAAAGTGACACATTTTTAGATTACAGCACCTGAATTTGCACACGTTATCAGTGACATCTAGTGGTCATAGCTTTTCTGCCTGGAAAGTCATGAGCTGGGGATGTTAAAATCTTTTTCAAATCTAATTTCATTTTTGATGACTTCATAGACAAGTCCATGGAGTTTTCCTGGCAACAAAATGGAAGTGGTGTCCATTGCCTTTTTCCAGGAAAGTTTTAGTGTCCTAATCTAGCCTACAGGCCTGTTACTTCCTGGCAGACTCCCATCCAAATGCAACCAGGCATTTCCTTCTGAATTTGTTAATGAACCTTTAATCAGAACTGTTTGCTGCATTTCATTAGGAACAGTTTGCTTTGGTGAAGAGGCTGCAGTGCAGCTTGTATATTAAGAGCTACACTGTGCCTGATTCTTTGTAATGACGCTTTTCTTTCAAAAAAAGCTTTCACAGGAGATAACCTTTGAGGAAGGAATTTCTAAATAATTTTCCTAGAACTTAAAAAAAAAACTTGTTTAGCAATCTGGAATCATGTTTTAGCTTAAGATTGTGGAAGGAGGTTGCTTGATGGTTTCTCCCTTCCTTTGTGGCTTCAGTTAAATAGCTAGCAATACAGTAAGCAATTTTCTTATTTGCAAGACCAAAAATTTATTCTGATTAGAGTGGTATCAATATTTAGTTATATGACCTATCAACTTGAATATGTCATGGATTTTCTGTTACAGGGGTTCTTAACCTGGGGTCTGTGGATAGATTTCATGGTGTCCATGAAAAAAAAATATATAACTTTATTTCGCTAATCTCTAACTGAAATTTAGCTTTTCATTCAATAATGTACATAGGTAGCAAAGTAAGTTAAGGCTTCTAGACTCCAAAAATGTTTGTTAAGGTCAGTAAATCTCATTGTCTAAATCATTATGCCCTTAAAAAGGGTATTGTCTTGTTATTGATTTAATTGATTAATAAAGAAGCAGATATATTACTATATTACATATTTGCTATTTTTAATATTTTAATAACTGTATTTGAATGTAATTGGTTTTCTTTATAATACAATATATTATTTGTAATATATATATGTATATATATATATATATATATATATATGTATTATTTTATGCATTTAAATACATATTTGAGAAGGGTCCATTGGTTTCAAGAGACTCTCAAGGGATCCATGCCAGGAAAAGGGTAAGAACCCCTGTTCTACTGGAAGCTTCAAGCTGTTGAATCCAGCTGTTACTAAACTTTACAGAACAAGTTGGTCTGCTGTTAACTTTAACTTTAGCACTGTGAGTCATACTCTAACACATACTCTGTTAGTGGAGAAAAGACTTTGAGAATATCTGGCATGGATAGTTGGAAACATACTCCACCCCCTGGAATACAACACGTGTCCACATCTGAAATGCACGCAGGTCCTTTTTTGGTAAAGTATTGTTAGCATGAATTTCCTTCCACTCTGCTTGGAACTCATCTGTTCCCTCCCTCCATAGATTATCACCACCAACTGCTTTGTGGAAAGGGTCCCAGAAGGGAGAGGAAGGAAGGCAGACAACAACTACATTCTAAATCTGCTTAGCTGTAATTTTTCTTTCTCTCCACATTCCTATTATCCTCAATTGCCCTGTGGGAAACATCTTAGAAATTTAATTTCTTTTAAAATAATATTCATCTTATTTACAGTTGTTTGTATTGTTTGTGAACTGCTTTGGGAAGATTGTTTTTAAAAATAAGATATAAAAATTGCAATAAAGTGGAATTGGCACTAATTGGCACTTCTATAGTGTATCATATAAATTTCTACTCTGAATTAAGTTCTACTGAATTCAGGGACTTACTTGCAGGGAAACATATACAGAATTGCAACTTAAAAGTATTTTCAATATTCCTTTGAAAGATTTTTTTTTAAATATTCAAGAAAATAAATAATGGCTCTACTTATTCCTTACAGCATATATTTACTATATTTAAATATTTATTATTGTTTTCAACCTTATTATATCTGGCACAAATTTAGTTTTCCATAAACTTAGCCGCATTCCAAAGTGGGAGGGTTTTTGTTGTTGTAAAAAAAAACCCCAGCAAGTCTTGGGCTCCATGCTGCCCTCTCTTCCTGCTGCAATGAAATTCTGACTTACCTTAATCATAGTTCACTATGTTATCTAAATTTTAAAATTGTTGCACTTGACCATGGTTGTTTGAAAGAAGCTATCCAGTAAAACTATGGTTTGAAATTGGCCTGTTCATACATTATAATGAAAATTAACAATAATTTATTTCAATTAGGACACTGACAAAACAATAAGTTGTGGTTAATGTATAACAGTGTATTCTGAATCCATTCCTGGAGCTGTACTGGAGGGATTGGCAGAAGCATGTAAGTTTTGCCTAAATGAGGTAGCACATTATGTCCTGTCCCTCAGTGTTTGATTCCTTTCAAATAGTTTTGAAATGCTAATAATTTGTTTTTAAAAAACTATCTGACAAATAATAAATTAAAAAGACACCCAGGCTATATTTATACTCCTGAGGCAATCATAAAGCCAGTAATGAATTTTGAATAAATTGTTTTCTTTAGGGATACAGTACTATATATTCTGATAATGGATTCCATACAATAATGTCATATTAATTTTCAGCTGCTCAGTGCATATTATCCTTTATGTGACATTGGACTGAAAGCCCAATTACTGTATAACAGTGCAGTCACTTTTTCATTCTCAATGTCTCAACTTTTTATTTGAGTCACTATTGTTTTCTGGTCTATTCCAAAACAGAATCTGGGGTTGGTTATATCTAAAGGAGATCCATTTAAATCAATTATATTTAAACTAGCTGTGAATTAAATGTATCTCATTGATTTAAGTGTACCTCCTCTCTGCATGTCTAAATTTGAATCTAATGCTATATTCTGACTATTTTTCTTTCATAAACTGAGTAGGTTAATGGCCATGGAAAATATAAGGAATTAATAATAATCTTGCTTGGAAAAATAACCCAATACTGACATTTTCTATCTTCCCAAGAGATTCATGACATTTTTTTTTAAAAAAAACAGGCCATTAGCTACCCATCTTCCATCTCATGATCATGGTTCACAAATTCAAATCATCCATGAGCCTTTCTTTAGGTTTCCTTTCATTCCATACGATTAGGGTATGGTTCTGTTTATCCTACCCTGTTCTGAATTTTTAGCTTGAAATTTGTAGCAAATGAATAATAATTCTGTACCTCTGATCATTAACAATAAGCATCTTTATTTTTGTCATATGCACAGGAGGAAGGTTTTGGCAAGCAAATATTTAAAAAGGAGAACCTGAAACTTTAAGGGACATGCAACGTTGATAAATTCTGGGAAGAGGAGCCTAGGAGGAAGGGGAATGGAAAGGAATAGGGACTGGAAAATTGGTTCTTAAGTGGGGTAGTCATTAAGCAAGTCACATGACTGGACTCGATTGTGCAACCATTTTTACGGTGGTCGTTACATGAATCACATAGTCGTTAAGCAAATCCAGCTTCCCCGATGGACTTTTTCTTTGCCAGAATTCACTTAATGACCATGTGATTCACTTAATGACCAACATAAAAAGGTAACAAATTGCAATCATGTGACTGGGGGTGCGTGACAGTTTGCTACGGTAGTAAGTACGAGTACAGATCATAAAGTACTTTTTCCGAGGCCGTTGTAGCTTTGAACCATTATTTAAATGAACAGTCATTAAGTGATGACTACCTGTATTGAAAAGGAGCAGCCCAGATCAAAACATTTTGTTATATGTCCCACTTGTACTTCTTTGCAAAAGAACATGTAAAAAGCTCTGCCTAACAAGGAAGAAAGACAAATAGAATAGAATTATTTTTAATGGCTTTAATCAGGATTTAGTAAGTATACTGCATGGTATGAAAATGGCTGATAGGGATGGACTCCCTAGAATCTTTTAGGAATTGCAAAGAAATACAAATCTTGAGACCAGTGATATTCTACTCAGAAAAGCTTGAATTGAAATTGTAATGCTGTGCATAAGAGATATTTTGTAATGTATTACACTACTTTTATGCAGCTTCAGTCATTTTGTCTCTGAGCAACTCACAAGCAGCAAGATACAATAATAATATTACAAAAAGAATAAAATAAATGGTAGGAGGACATTCCACAGGAATGGAACTCCTGCAGAAAATGATCCCTTCCAGGTCTTCTTTTGATACATTTCATGGGGAATGGGAATGCTCAGGAAGCATTATGTATTAACATACATCTTGTATTAACAGATACATCTTGAATGAGCAAATTCTATTTGGATTAAGCAGTCTTGCCATGAAGCCTTCCCAAGTCTTCCCAAGCCATGATTTCGAAGGCTATAATTAGCACCCTGAATTACATCTGGAAACAAACTGGCAACAATGCAACTCCTACAATATTGATATTACATGACAGTATGGAGTTGTCTCAGTTAATATCCAGCCCTTCACATTTTGAGGTAGTTGCAGTTTCTGGATGGTCTTTTAAGGACAGTACTATGTAGAGCATATTACGTAGTCCACTAGTGAGGTGACAAAGGTATAAGTGGCTATAGTCAGCATCTTCTCCTTCAGGAACATTCACTATCAGCACACATGTTGAAGCTAGACAAAGGTCTTCCTGGCCACAGTTTCTATCTGCTGTTCCAAAAGATCTGAGAGTACAGGAACACCCCTAGATTGTACACCAACTCTTTCAGTAGGAGCATAACCACATCCAGAGCTAAAGCTGATATTGTCCCAGATTCAGTTGACTTCTTAGTCCATAGACACTCTACTTTGCTAGGGTTAAGTCTTACCCTGTTTCTTCCAGATCTTTACAGCCTCCACACATGGGACAAGACATTCTGCCACATCTTGACAGCCTGGAATTGAGATGGATAACCTGGTCTCCTCAGCATATTAAATGATACTAAACCCCATTTCTTGGATTATCTCCCCCAGTGACTACTTGTAGATGTTAAATAAAATGAGAAAGAGGGTTGAACCTTGTGACATCCCATGTACGCACTGGAAGTATCCACTCAGGAAGGAGCTGAACTACCATGGAACAGTGCCTCTAATTCTTGTGGGTCCAGAAGCATACCAAGATTTATGGTATAATAGGGTAGCGCTCCCCCTTCTAATCATTAATCATTGAGCTTTTTCATTAAGATTATTAATGAGAGTAATTTTGAGGTTTTTCTCTCCCATGCCCAGGCCTAAACCCTGAACTGAAAATGATACAAATAATCCATTTTCCAGAGCTCTTTGTAGTTGATGCCTACAAAAAGGAAGGTTATTGAGTTGGTGATAGTTGTCCAGCATAGCTTGGTCCTTGATCATATCCATAAGGAGGTACTGCTTCAGTGCTCTTTTAGAAACATCAGCATCTCTTCCTCCCAAAATGAGGCATTCACAATGGCCCTTGATATCTCATTTTTGGCCTTAATGATGCTAGGTATAGCTGAACTGGAGAAGGTTTTAGGATTCTGTTACAATATCCAACTAGCAAAAAAAATATTTCCAAAAGTCTAAATGGTTCTTCTTTACTGAGTTTGCCAGCCTTGAAGGGCTCTACAACAATCTTCAAAGCCTTGTTACTCTCTCATTAGAGAGGTATTGGATCCTGTATTCTGGACCTAGACCACAGCTAAAGATCCTTGAGGTACCTCCTGTCTGCAGAACAAGTTGCTGAGCCATTATTGCAGCATAGACAGCAGGTAGATGCATAAATCATGAGCTTGTAGAATGCTATGATGCAGTTAGCCCAGCATTTTGCTCAAGGTTGCCTCAGCCTGGAGTAGCCCCACAGGCAGTTCTCCCATGGGTGATATTTTGTTCCCTTGGGAGCCTTCTGGAGGAGTTGAGGGTGGGGCTCAGGACAGATTCCTAACCTTCACTACCCAGTGTGAACTGTTTATGGCTAGCAGGCAGCAGAGTTTCCTACAGATTGGACCAAAGTAGTTTTTGTTCTCAGCCTTTTGAAAGAAGGAACAGCCAGGTGGGCTGTTCTCTACTCACTGAAAACAATGATGCCATCCTGGACAACTCTTAACAATTTTATGCAGAAATTTAGAACTGCCTTTGACAATTACTTTTGACAAATTGAAAGTTCCTTTGACAGTTACTCAAGAACAAGCAGCCTTTCAGGATTTGAAACTAGCCTTCCCTCAGACTCTGCTCCACCATCCTGATCCTACCTGCGACATTATTGTGCAAACTGGTGCTTCAAACTATTTTGAGCGCTGTTCCTTTTCAGGTTTCAGCAGAGGAGGGAAAGGACCTATTCCCTTGTACATTTTATTCTAGACTCCTCCCAGCAATGATTATGTTTGTGATAAGGACTAGCTACCAGTAAAAGTCGTGTTCTAACAATGGAGGCATTTCTTACAGGGAGTGGTTCATCCCATGCAAGGATCTTAAGAATTTGAAATACCTGCAGAAGGGTCGGACATTTACTTAACATCAGGTTGGGTGGGTACAAATTTTCTCTCGTTTTAACTTCTACATAATTTATATTTCTAACTTGTAAAATGAACAGTCAGATAATCTATGATGCAAACCTCCTGTATATGTTTCATGACTGGCCCCTCCTGCCACAATCTTGAAACCAGACAATTTTGCTGTTCTGAAAGGGATACTCCCAAGCTGTTAGGGGTATGGCAGAGGCAATGGATATCTCTTACAAGAACAGCAGAACCCTTATGTCAGGGCTCAGATGGATGACTTCAAGAGAGCCTCACAGATTGATTCCAGCTTCCAATTTGGTGATTTATTACAATTTCTCTGCTGCTGACACCTATACACACCCACACCTCCAGCAGCGTTCTTCCATAGCTCACTACTTTGCCCTTTTTTTTTCCTTGAGGAAGTTACTTTATGTGGTCTTTGTCATTTCTGGTCCCCTCCTTTTTGTTCTTACTTTTTTTTTCTTTTTTCTTTCCAACCATCTGTAGTTCACCATTGGGCCATTCTCACAAACTACAGCCCATTCTCTAACCAACAGCTCCCCTCTTCCGGCTCTCAGTTGTTGCTACTGAATACTTCTCAGCTCTACCTTCCTACTTCCAGAAAGGTACTTGCCTACATGTCACAGGGCATGCATTCCTGGTGGAAGATGCTCACAGGTAGCTAATGACCTTGGTGACAAGCAAGCAGAGCTGCCATCTCACAAAGCACATCATCTGGAGCATACCTGATTGTCTAATTCTAGCCTATAGGTATACATGAATAGTCCCTGTTGCTCCATCGGTGATCATTATTGCTGCTCAAGCATTTATTTTAATATCTTGAATTAAAAAGGCTTGTATATTCAATGGGGGGGGGGAAACAAATTTTCTGAGCATCAAAAATTTACAAATTCTTTATTTGTGTTTTTTCTGAAATCTTTTTAAACTAACTGCTTTTCACCCTCGGTCCCAAGAAATGTTTCTCATAACTGGTAGAATCAACAGATTTATTTTAAATATTAAGAAACAGTTTTTCATAGCACATTTTTTTTACAATAAATAATCTTTTTATATAAAACAGACCTATCTCTGTAATTTACAATCCACACAATACTAAATGGTTACAGAGTTTGATAAAATTAAGGTTTTTAAAAAAAAAAATTCATAGGAAGTTAGTCAGTGAACAGTTAACTGTAAAGACAGAACACGGCAGAGTTTTGGCAGTAGCTAGCTTGGGAAATGACGTCTTATAACATTTGCTGTTCTAGAAAGAGCAGAGACACGTAGTGTAATTGGGAGTGCTCTGGGTGGCAGTATTTTTACCAGTTGAATATTTGTACGAAGTGATCGGGGAGAAGGAGAAGGTGGCAAACAGTTTTCTGGCTGCTTAATAGAACTACAGTTCTTGTTAATTTTTTTAGGAATATTGCATAGCTGAGATACAGAACTCATAAATAAAAGAAAGTACACTTTTTAAACATTGAAAATGGGGAAGGATTACTATTCTGTTCTTGGAATTGAAAAAGGAGCATCTGATGAAGACATCAAGAAAGCATACCGAAAACAAGCCCTTAAATGGCATCCAGACAAGAACAAATCTCCCCATGCAGAAGAAAAATTCAAAGAGATTGCAGAAGCCTATGAGGTCTTGAGTGATCCCAAAAAAAGAGAAATTTATGATCAGTTTGGAGAAGAAGGTAAGATAATTTCTGTAGTTTCATTCTAGCTATTAATAGAAATATATTTATGCTAAATATAATTAATAGAAATCAAGAGGGAATGAGCATTTCGTTGTAAGAACTTACTCTGAGGACTTAGGTAAATTATATTTTGGTAGCTATACACTCATTACATTTGCATGTTCTGCTTATGAAATTTCTAGTAAATTAATATTCTAATATGTATGGTGAGATTCTTAATTTCTGTTGCAAGAACTTCAGGAAGTTGCTGAGCTGCTTTGGCTCTGATAGTAGCTGAATTAGTTTATTTTGTCCTATTCCTACACAGTGACACAAAGATTAAAATGTATGTATACTGTATTTTTGTTAAAATAATATTGAAATAGAATGATGGTATTTCTGAACGAAAGTCCAGGTGTCCAGACTAGGCTTACATTGGAATCTTGCCTAGAAAGGAAAGAATTTGCCTGATGTCACAAAAATACCAGGACAAGTTTTCAGCTTCCTTGTAAGCTATTAATGTACCAAGGGAATGAGGCCTAGCATTTGTGAATGTAACTCAAAATGTGCCTTTTAGGCACATTCAGCTACTGCCTTTATCTTTCAAAATCCAGTTCAATATTTGGAAATAGCTTTTGTTCTGCTAATGAAGTTGCTTTTGTTGCAACTATTGGATATTTCCATTACAGTTGCATGTTCCCTCAATGAGACAGAAATATCCATGTATTGAATATGATGGGTTGAAAATATAAGGAAGAGTTAAAAATGCAGCAGTACTTAATAATTATTTTCTTATAAGAAACTTGCATTTCTCATAAATGCATATTTTTACATAAACAATAATTCTAATTCAGTAATAATTTTGCAATTTTAGGAATGCTTCCCTTTATTCTTGGGAAACATCAGACCTTGATATGCTGATAGGTTCTTATTTTTAAAGTCATTGATCAATGTTCCTAGTATTTTATGTAGAGCACTAGGGACAATATCTAATGAGCTAATTTAGTTAGAGTTAGAGATTGACTGCTGTACAGATCATAGATAGACAGTTAATCTAATACTCTTTTTAATTAGATGTGGGATTGATATGTTTTGAGTACAACCAATCCGTTATCTATTTTGGGAAGTGTCATTCTGCCAAGTACATGGTATGGTTTATCAAACCTGGCATCCTTTAGTTAGTTCTACATCTTTAGTTGCTAAGGCTTAGTAAATAAACACTCAATTCACAAACAGTGCATTTAATAAGCAGGAAGAGTGCCAATAATGCATACTTAAACTATACTTCAGAATATATATTCTAAACCATTTTGATATATTATTTGCTGCACTGTTCAAATATATGATAAAACCAGCAGAAAAGCTGGTTATTAGATTAGCCACAATATACAATAATATTCAGAGATCCAGCCTGTCTTTTGTGAAAATTGATTTTTACCATAGGTTGATGTAAAGACAAAAAAGGGGTAGATGATTAACAGTTATGTCATATATACCAGCTGCTGAAACACTTACTGTAGTGATTATGTACAGCTTATGCTAGTTTGCAAGGCAGTAAACTCACTGCTTCAAAAAAATATTTTCCCCAAAATTTGTATTGAAGATTAATTTGATTAATCAATCAATCAATATCAATTAATATATTGAATTTTATATCCCTTCAGAACTAAAATGTTATGATTCTGACATGAGGTATAAATGTACCAAGCTTTTATTTCATAGCTTGGCTGAACTAATATGTTTAGCATATTTATAACCATATTTTTATAAATAAACACCTACTCAAAAATATGGCTCTAACTGGAGTCTTTGAAACACCTACTGCAAAGTAAATCAAGGACATTTCTTACATATTTTGAACCTTTTAGCATTGGGTTGGATCCAGACTTAGTCATATTTAGAGCAGACCCATGAGAATAATTAGGCTTGGGCTTATATTAAGCCTTCCTTATTTCATATTTCTATTCTAAATAAAGCAGACACCAAGGAATGTTGGTAATTTGAACTTGCTGTCTATAATTTAGATAGCCGTATGGGCACAAAGTAGTCCTGTTAAGTTTTACAATGTTAGCTGGGTTCACACATGGTGTTATGTTATCATTTGTTTTAATAGTCATGTGTAAAATAAGCCATAATGGTGTGCTTCACATAGGACACTAAGTAATAAGGCATGGTTTCTAGACTCAGTTTGTATCATGGTAAAATAAAATCCAACAAAAGAAATAATGGCTTAACACAATACGTTAAAGTCTGCCTTCAGTGTGAAAGGTGTAGGACATTGTAAATTCTCTAAATTATATCAGGAAGATAGATTATTTAATAAGTTGTTTCAACATTAAAGAAAAATATTCAAGGACTTTATACACTTACTGTTTGTTAGATGCCTATTTTTTCCCAGAGATTTGCAAGCTAAGTCTTTCCAAGGAGAAATGTTAGTCTGCTGTCTAGTCACAAATTTTAAATTCTACAGAATCCAAATTCTCTGAATATGGAAATGTTTGGATTTCAGTAAATGTGTTTGTAAAACAGAAAGAATACAATGACTGCTCAGTAATATTCTCCCAGAGAATTAGGCATTGCCATCTTGCTTGAGAGTAGGGGCATGGTGCCCATGGAAACCAGTGTTCTCTCAGGTGTCCTCTTAGTATGCACCAGGCTCTCTCTCTCTGCCCTATATGACTTAAAAAAAATTTTTAATTAAAAAATACATGTCAAGCAGACATTAATAGTAATTATCTATTAGCAAGAAAATAAAGAGCATTTTGGGAAGCTAGTAAACTTTCTAGTAAATTGATGTTTTATGACGGTTCATACCTACTGTGGCAACTATTGACTTGAGATATACAGATCAGGTAACTTATTAAGATTTTTTTTTTAAGATTGCAGAGTTAACATGCCTTTTACCCAAACCATCTATTTAGGTGGTTCAAAGATATAGCAAAAAGAAGAGAAATTGGTTAAATTTAGGAAGGATGCGTAGGTGAAATTAATCACAGAATGTAGGTGGGTGTCATAATGTAGGAAAAAAAGCAAGCTTGAAATAATCTAGGCGACAGTTAATGTAAGTGTGGTAGCATAATTTTGTAAGATCTCTATAAAACTCACTGGTTTGCAATACATCAAAGTTTTGTGGACTCTTGGTTAAAAATCCTTTCCACAATCATTTTACTTCTAAAATTCAGTTGGATTTACTTCCAAATAAATATGCATAAAAGTAAACACATTTCTTGAATTAGATGAGCAGCTCAATCCTATATATTCATTCAGAGATATAACTCCATTTCTTTTGGATTAACTAGAGAGATTCAGAATTTCTTAACACATCACATATGTCAACTAAATAGTCAGAGAGAGAATACCTATGACCCATCTAACTGCTGCTTTATGTTTGATCATATTTAAAGCACTTCTCTTTCTTATTTCAACACTCCCTTCCTTTCCTTTCTCCCCCTCTCCCCAACAGTTATGTGTATATATAATTTGTCTTGGACAGGACAGGATGGGACACAGACTGTAAATTATAAAAGCTTATATGAGTTTTTAAATTTCTACAGGACTCTGTGTTTGCTGCAAAACTGTAACATGGCTACTCTTCTGGGACTCTATGTTTGTTTACTTAGGAATAGGTTTTACTATGTTCATTGGAGCTTACATTGACTATATAAACAAGGGCATAATTGTTACAAATTCTCCCCAGCTGATGTCACAGAATCACAAATTATTTTCTCTTATATTTGTAAAAGACAAAATATTCCCTCAAGTAAAAAGGACAGAGTTATCTGCCCTCCTCTCCTTGCCATTCTGTTTTCTTATTTTCTGGATTACAGGCCAAGATTTCTTTAAGCAAATATAATCATTTAAGCTGGTTATTACTTCTTATGCTTCTGTATTTTGTAGGTTTGAAAGGAGGGGCTGGTGGACCAGATGGTCAAGGGGGTACTTTCCGTTATTCTTTTCATGGAGACCCACATGCCACATTTGCAGCATTTTTTGGTGGTGCAAATCCTTTCGAAATGTTCTTTGGTAGAAGGATGCCTGGTGGCAGGGACACTGAAGATATGGAAGTGGATGGAGATCCATTTGGTTCCTTTACTACTTTTAGTATGAATGGATTTCCAAGAGAAAGAAACACAGTTGGTAATCAACCCCGTCGTAAACAAGATCCTCCCATTATTCATGAATTGAAAGTATCATTGGAAGAGATTTACCAGGGCTGCACAAAAAGAATGAGAATTTCCCGAAAAAGGCTCAATCCAGATGGAAGAAGTGTCCGAACAGAAGATAAAATCCTTACAATTGATATTAAGAGAGGATGGAAAGAAGGTACCAAAATTACATTCCCCAAAGAGGGTGATGAAACACCCAATACCATCCCAGCTGATATTGTGTTTGTTATTAAAGATAAATTACATCCTCATTTCAAGAGAGATGGTTCGAATATAATCTACCCTGTCAAGGTTAGCTTACGGGAGGTAAGTACCCTGTTAAGTTTAAAATTGGATTGTTAATATTTTAGAAAATCTGTATTTATTTATATTGTTTTATATTTGCAGCTAAAAGAATTAAACTTGATGTATATCAATGTCAGGTTCAGCCCAAAGAACTCCACGAGACAGTGCAATACAGTTCTGTTGCGTTTATTAGCTTCCACCTCAAGACAGAAATC